TGAGACGGCCCTTGCCGCCATCGCCGCCCATGTTACTCCCCCTGCCCGTCAGGCACTCCAACCGCCGCCCGTACTTGCGGCCTACCTAGAGACAAAGAATTCTTTCGCCCCATTAGAAATGGAGTACGCATGCTCCGAGTCCTCTGCATCGGCCTCCCGGAAGAGGCCCGCCACCAATTCTGGCACCGGCTCATCGGAGTCCTGTGACTCCGACGGAACCGGGGATTCTTCGTTCACCACGGTGAACTCCAAGCGCAACGGTAAACGCGCCGCTAAAAACCGCACCCTCCCTGTCTCAGCGGCCCCTGCCGCTCCTTCAACCTCCGCAGGTCCCGCTGCCGCCTCTGCCCCCGCAGCCCCCGCCGCTGCCTCAGCCCCACTTATGTCACTAGACATTCCCGCTCCGACCAAGCCAGCCTCTCGCTGTGCTCCAGTCCTTGCCAAGAAGCAAGTCCCGCCCCCTGTCTTCCTAAGAGACAAGGCTAAATTCACAGAACTCTCCAAAACCTGCTACAACGCAGGCATAAAATATGACCACCCCATCAACCTCGGGGAGGCTATTAAGATCATCCCCCAATCAATCGACGACTTCCGGCGACTCACCAGGCTATTCACAGCCGAACGAGTTTCTTATCATACATACGCTCTTCCGGAAGAGCGCAAAGTCAGGGCCGTCATCCGCGGCGTCCCCTTCGAATTTTCAAACGAAGAAATCCTTGAGGACCTTAAGTCCCAAGGTTTCCCCGTAGAAGCCGTGCACAAAATGCACAGTAGAACAGGCCAGAGGTTCTCTCTTGCCCTAGTAATTTTAACCAACGTGCCGGAGGCGAAAGCCATCTTCCGGCAGGTACGCACAGTGTGCGGCCTGTCGAGAGTGAGGGTTGAGCCTCCACCTCGACAGGCGCGGGTTCCCGGCGCAGTGCCACCGCTGCCAGCTGTATGGTCATGCGGCGGCCAACTGCTCCGCCCCACCCAGGTGCGTTAAGTGCCTTGAACCCCACAACACTAAAGAGTGTCCTAGGCCCAAAGACGCCGAATCCCCACCCGCGTGTGTCCTGTGTAAACAAACGGGCCACCCGGCTAACTACAGAGGCTGCCCTTGCGCACCTCATCCTCGCCCCAGTAGGCAAGCTCCACCGCCGGTCAATGACCGCTCATTCCCGGCTCTTTACCAACGGATGCCCCGTCAGGGCCTTTCTCAGCCCACCCAGGGCTTCTCTCGACCCTCTCAGGGTCCTCCTAGGCCCCCTCAGGGCACTATTCGGCCCCCTCCGGGCTTCTCTCAGCCTATGCAGCCTCCAGTTTTTCCCTGGGGCCCCAAAAAGGCAGTACCACCGCGGACATCCTCCGCCCCTCAACCACAACAATCACAGCCCTCAATGGCTGATGACCTAAAAACGGTGTATTCCGCAATTAGGAACATCAACGTTGAGGAAATCGCTGTGTTAGCACGCAAATTGCGCGCTGCGAGGTCCCCTCAGGACCGTCTCCTCGCTCTTGCAGAGCATCATAATCTTTTGTGCTCATTGTAAGTTAAGTTAACTTAAGTAACTTAACTCACAATGACAGAGCAGTTTGCTCTACCAAAATCCCACGGTCGTATCAAACCTAAGGGTTTATCGCTTGTATCCTTTAACATTCGCGGTTTGCGAAATAACCTCCCAGAGCTTAAGCTCTTTCTTCAAAATCGTGAAACCAATTTCCTCCTCCTACAGGAAACTAATCTCAATACTAAGGACACTAAAGGCCTTTCCATCAAAAACTTCTCTCTTCTTCGTAACGATAGACCCTACCGCCGAGGCGGCTGTACGGCCATTTATTACAAGAAGACACTCCACTGTTCTCCCATTTCTACTCCGCAACTTTCCAACATGGAAGCCACGGTATGCAGGCTAGCTATGACTGGACATCAGTCCATCTTCATAGCCTCCTGTTACATCCCTTCTAAAACCCTTCCCCTCAAAAAAGATTTTGAGGCTATTTTATCTCTAGGCAATTCAGTCATTATGTTTGGAGATTTTAACTCCAAGCATACTGAATGGACATGCCGTACTACCACCCGTAGTGGCAAGTTACTGCTCGATATCACGCAGTCTCTTGATATTACCGTCCACAGTCCTCTCGGTGTTACTCACTTTCCCGATAACACCGACTATGCCCCCGATGTACTAGATTTTGCGTTACTCAAAGGAGTTTCTCTCAACCTTAGGGCAATCGAGACACTAGACGATCTAGGATCCGACCACCGACCGGTCTCTCTCATTCTTGGCCATCAGCCACCACTCCCAACACCCTCTACTAAAACCTTCACAAATTGGAAGGGCTTCAAGGAGTCCCTAGCGAAAGCTCTGGACTCACAGGACTCCCCCATCTCCCTATCTTCGGACTTAGACAGTCCTGAAAAAATCGACACCGCGGTCGATTCACTCTCCATCCTTATTAAAACCTCCCTTAAGGAGAATGAAAGGGTCGTCCCGGTTGCTAATAATAGTGGGCTTCCCCTGCATATTAGCAACCTATTAAAAGCCAAAAAAGCTGCTTTCCGGAGAGCAGCAAAATATCCCACGCCCGAATATAGGCGCACGGCCAATCGTCTTCAACGAGAACTCCGTTTCCGCCTCTCTGAATTTCGAGACCTCGAAAAGAGTAAGCTCATGGAGAATATCTCTCCCTCTCATACAGCGTACTATCAGATGGCAAGAGCCCTCCGCATAGACGCTAACTTCCACACTCCCCCTCTCTCCCGTCCCGACGGTACGGTAGCCTTCGAGGACGAGGAAAAGGCTGAGTGCTTTGCAGACAGCATTGCCGCTCAATGCTCTCCTAGCTCTCAACCCGTAGACCCCTCACACGTCCAGGCAGTGGAGGATGAGGTCCGCCGCCGGAACTCGCCCCCTACAGCCTCCGAACCTATCTCTGTGTCCAATGATAAGATTTCATCCCTCATCAAAGGACTTAAGCCTAAAAAGGCTCCGGGCGCGGATGGCATCTCCAACCAAGCCCTAAAAAACTTTCCTGAGCAGGTGCTAACCCTTTTATCTATTATCTTCAATGCCTGCTTCAACCTTAGTTACTTTCCCACTACGTGGAAAGAGGCAACTGTGATTGGTATTCCCAAGCCAGGCAAGCCTCTTAATCTCCCCTCCAGTCATCGTCCCATTAGCCTCCTCAAGGCCATGGGCAAGCTCTTTGAAAGAGTCATTCAAAATCGCATGAGGCGCCATCTGTTTCCCACAGACGGTGACCCTCTTATCATTCCCCATCAATTCGGTTTCCGAGCGAAACACTCCTGCCCCCAACAAGTTCACCGTATTGTGGAATATATCCTCAGCGGTTTTTATCCCCGTCGTCATAAGACTATCGCGGTCTTTTTCGACATCGCCAAAGCCTTCGATAGAGTCTGGCATACAGGCCTTATCTACAAACTATACAAAATAGGTCTCCCCGATCGTCTAGTACGTCTCGTGGCCTCTTATCTTAATCATCGTACCTTTCGTTTTAGACACGAAGGCACGCTATCTTCACAGCGCCCCATCAAAGCTGGTGTCCCTCAGGGCTCAGTTCTTGCTCCTCTGCTGTACATACTGTTCACCAACGACATTCCCATTCCGCCGAAAGGTGTTCAGCTCTCCCTCTTCGCAGACGACACTGCTCTCTACTGCAAAGGTATCTCGCTACCTTTCATACGGAACAAGGTCCAAAAGTCAGTTGATGACCTAGGAGCTTGGTTCAAAAAATGGCGCATCGATGTGAACCCGGAGAAGAGCTCCGCCGTTCACTTCGATTATAAACGACGCCGTCTCAAAAACACTCCACCAATACGTATGCTAGGGACCCCTGTCCCCTGGCATACGTCTGCCAAATATTTAGGTGTCACTCTAGACACAGGGCTAACTTTCAGGCCCCACGTCAAAAGAGTAACCCGTCACGCACGTTTTTACCTGAATAGGCTCAACAGTATGTTGGGCCGACACAGTAAAATGTCCCTCAGAAACAAGCGTACCCTTTATAAGGTCTGTATACGACCAGTCATGTCCTACGCGGGCCCCATTTTCGCCCACTCTAACCCTAAAATCATTAATGAACTCCAAGTAGTTCAAAACCTTTTCTGTCGTCGAGCTGCGAACGCACCTTGGTACGTCCGCAATGCCGACCTTCATCGGGACCTAGAGCTCCCTACAATTCAACAATTCCTTAAAAAACTCTCTGAGAACTTCTTCAAAGCCTCAGAGTCGCATTCCAATCATTTTATTCGTGAGGCTGCTAATTATGCAGCCCCACTCCCCTCCCGCTATAGCGTCCGCAGGCCGAGAAACTCCCTCTCGGACCCGCCTAATAAACTTTCAAACGACCTGAACTGCCTCCTGGCGGCTCAGGCCAACTCTAATTAAGTTATTCATAATTAATTTGCCTTCCCAGGCACTCCCTCAGCGGCTTATAGCCGCCTGCGCCCTCTTTTCCCAAAAGAGGGTCGCTTTACGATACGGCATGTGAAGCTTTCAACAGCTGGTTGCCAGTCCCCAAAGGCAGTTTTTAGAGGGTATCACTTAGGTTCCCCCTTGTAGGTAGTGAGTCCCTCATAACCACGATGGACCGGCCATCGTGGTATGCGTAATGCATTTTCTGCCTCCCTTCGGGGTAGCCCTTTTCCAATTGCTTCGGGCGCAAAAAAAAAAAAAAAAGTCGGTGAGCTGTTCATTTCGGAAGCGGCACTCGAAGAGAAGAAAACAGCAAGAGAAATCAAGAAAATCAAGACTCAAGAAGACTCCAATAAGAAGACTCCCCTCTGTATATAGTGTAATTAATAGTGCCATATTGTAAATAGTTTGAATACAGTATAGTTCGACAGTACCATCTTTTCTTTAAGCAGTTGTCCCTAGCGTACTCAATAATACAGTCCACTGCGATCCCTAACACGTACCGTATGGCCTTTTAAAAATAATTATTAGTGATTTTGTGGTGGTGATAGTTATAAAAGGTTAAGAAACAATTGAACAATTATGGGAAAAACCTGTATTGTGAAAAGTTGTCCAAGTGGACGTAAACTAAATACTTCAAAACATGGTTCGCCTCAACTTCTGTCTTTTTTCCGACCTACGACCTCCGTTGAGTAGTTTATTTTGAATTATTTATTTAATTTACGACACCCTGATTGAGAAATCGAATTAAAAATAATTCAATCCATGCAAAGTGTATGTTTATATATTATTTAACTCGAATCATGTTATTTTAAATTGTTTTATAATAATTTCAAATTAGATTTCTTAATCAGGATTTAACGCTTCTTTAATGTTTAATCAACACTTCTTTATTTTGTATTATATTAAATTATATTTACAGACAACAGCAAGATTAGACAAGTGGCAACGGTGTTTGGGTAATAAATTAAAAGCCACTGATAATATTTGCCATCTTCATTTTATAGAAGAACATATAAAATTGTACGACAAGTTTATGATTGACGGAGAGCTCAAGATTTTTCCAGCAGTGAAAAAAATGCTAAAAAATGAAGCTTTGCCAACAATCGAGCATCAATTTATTCCAATACCAGCATATGAGCTCCAAGCAAGTATTATTGAACCACAAAAATCAACTTCATGCCACAATCACAGTGGAGACGACCAGCAGGATAGTATGCAAAACAGCAGCATTGAGCAACATGAATTATTAGATGATCTGTATAATCCTAATAATGCTACAAATTACTATGAACAAATGGAACAGGACTTGGAAGAATCTCTGTTGAGTCAGCAGTCCAATGATGATTTAAATAATAACGTAGCAAAAGAAACAACTATACAACCAATAGAGAGTTTTAGAGATATCCTGAAATGTCCAATGCTACCATCTTTTTGGATGCATGTAGAGAAACCAGACGGACTAGAATTTCTGCGAATGGATCCATCAACCAAGGAAACAAAAAATTATATACGTCTAAATGAGGATTTATCAGTTACTGTAACTATTTATTGATTAATGTATGGATAAAGTAAGTAAAAAAAAAAAAAAAAGAAAAGTTACAATAATCATTAATAGCAACTTAATTGCAGGCTATTTTTTCTAATGATGAAGAACTGCCGCTTTATGTAAAAATTAATTATTTCAAAAATCTTTGTGAGTTCTTAAAATCTGTAGAAAGATGGCCATTATGCATTGGTACTCAAATAGACAGTAATAAGTAAGAATATTTTTTTACACATAAAACAAAGGAACTATAAAAAGTTTTACACATCTATGATACTTAAAAAAAAATACATAAATTTTCAGGTACTCAAAATTGTGTAAAGGTGTGATTATAAGTGGCGATGCTTACCAAAGAAATCAAAGAAATCCAAGATGTAAATCATGTCACATTTTACGGAAACGCTTACAAAGCCGTAAATCAACTTCAATTCTTTTAGAGAAAACGACAGCTCTAAAACGGCGTGCTTCAAACCTTGTTAAACAAAACAAACGTCTAAAAAGAATGGTAAGTTTTTTTTTATTTCATTGAAAACGTCTAAGCTCTATGAAAATTGCAAAAATTTATCTTCAGGGTAATAAGGTATTGAGGTACTTTCTTTCAAACATTTTATTTATCATTTTACATCCACATATCTTTTTGGAAAAATAGTGATCAAGTACATATGAGTTTTAAATTAAATCTTTTGGTAAAGTATTCATAATGTATATATTAATTGTACATTAATTTTTTATTCACAACAGTAACTGTTTGTACATAAAAATTGTACATTTAATCTGTTGTTCTATTATATTTAGATTATATTTAGATTTATACATTGTTCAATGTTGATTCGTTCAAATAAAATTACTTTAGAAAATCATAATTATATATAACAGAACATAAATTTTGTACCATACCAACCACATATGAATAAAATTATTATACCAAATCTTTCTTCTTATTAAATAATGTAGATTAATTAATCAATAACATAGTTGATTGTTTTATAAATAAAATAATAACTTTAAATATTATAATTATATGTGAACAAATGTAATTTTAAATTGTAGTTTTCGAAGTTAATGATGTTGCTAAGTGTGCAATATTATTAGAATAAGATTTATACTACTCATTTAAGAATTTTAATTTTTTCTTAATTAAATTGAAGCCTCAAAGGATGATTGCCATTGCACTATAAATAATTAGGTTAATCAGTAATATAGATCCAATTGTTTCATCTACTCTGTAATATGGCACAATTTATTTTATGTTTTTGTTATTCCGCGATGTTAATATTTTATTTTATATTTACAGAAAAGTGGGCTAAAAGAAAAAGTTTTTATGGCGAAGTCTAAGTGTGCTCAAAAATCACAGGCTGTACTACAAGAAGCTATTAAAAATTTACCACAAGAATTTCAAACTGTTGTAATTTCCTGTTTCGAAGCTGCAAAGAAAAAAACATCAAAAGGACGACGATACACATTAGAATGGATTTATGAATGCTTGTTGATACGTTTAAAGAATCGAAATACGTATAGATTTTTGCGTAGTAGAAATATTTTACCGCTACCATCTTTAGAAACATTGAGTAAATTCATTCGAAAAATTAGTGGCTCTGCTTACGGATTTCAACCGGCTACTTTTCATAGTCTAAAAGATGCGAAGCAATGACAAAAGGAGAGAAACATGAAGTCATTTTGGTCGACGAAATGAAACTAAGTGAAGGCGTTTATTTTGATCAACATTCTATGAAATTTAGTGGTTTTGTAGATCTTGGACAGCACACCCCGGAAGACTTGAAAAATAAGACAGCAGATCATGCCTTAGTTTTTAAGTTTGTACCCTTCAGAGGTAGATGGGTTCAAGCTTTAGGTTGCTTCCTTTCTAGGAATGCTTGCAAAAGCGAACCACTTCATAAGCTTCTTTTAGAGTGTATTGTACTTATGGAAAATAGTGGAATCTGCATTGATGCTGTTGTTATGGATGGTGCATCGTGGAATAGAGGGGTTTGGAAAATTTTCGGTATTGACGACAAAAACATTAGCTGTGAACATCCTTATGATAGGTCACGACGATTGTGGATGATTTCGGATTTTAATCATTTATTAAAATGCTTCCGAACATCTACTTTGGATGACAATTTACAGGAATTCCAGGTATAATAAAAAGTAATGCTATATCCAGTAAACGGAAGCACAGAAGATTATTATAAATAGTGTTATTGATGTTACAGACCCCTTATGGAATAGTCAAAAAGAAGCATTGGGAAGCTCTCTTAGAAGAGGAGAATTATCGTCAGCCCAATATGAAAATTGCCTACAAATTGACACCTGCTCATTTAAAACCTAAAGGCTTTCAGACAATGAATGTGCCTCTTGCAACACAAGTATGTACATTTTTTCAAGTATATTTTTTTTGTATTGAATGAATAGACTAAAGACTATGATCGATTTTAGATCCAGACGCTTGTTTGCTTTTATTATATTACTAGCTGTGCCCGCGGCGTAGCTCGCGTATATAGGTTTTACTTGGAGAATTTGACATTCAGGTAAGAAAATATTAAAGGATTTATATCATTACTGTATCAATATCACTTATTAGACGTCAGTGTAACAGACGTCTCTGGTTAGTGCGTATATACACTAAGTGCTCCGTCTCTATTTTCGCATACATGCCCACTATAAATTGGTAAAACAACCCCCGAAATCTTTGCAGATACGCAAGAAGATATATGCCTTCCATGTAACAGGTGCGAATAAAATTGCAGAGCAAATATTTTTTTATTAAAATTGGTCTCTGGTATTAGGATTAACTTGATAAATTCCGAAATTGTACCCATTTTCACCGTGACAATATATTAATGGATATTGTAGAGCATCATAATATCGATGCGTTTCATAAATCCCTGGCAGTCGATCGTCATGTGTCTGCAGCACGATGTCACATCTATCGCACTCCTGGTCAACTAATACCACTGCCACTTCATCAGTGACAGGAACGTTGCTAGCGCGGTGTTCAGTAACTTTTTTTTAGTAACAGGACGTCTGTCAGCGTTAATAACTATTTTATAATTGTTTATTAAATCTTGACGGATCGATTGCAATGCAACCCTACCCTAACGTATGGATTTATTTCATGTAGTATCCTTTGAAGTTGGGATATGAGTTCGCTATTGAGTTGTGGGAAGTTGTGATTTCGGATATTAGTATGTTCATTATAATCTGATACAAAATAAATTGACTATTTTACTTATATATACATATATATTTATAACTCATAATAAACTCATAATATATATCATTTAATTTAATTTATTAAGTTGAATAATTTATTAAGTTGAAATGGAAATTGAAAATTGAAAATATATAATATCTACATTGGTTCTGGGTAATGTATGGTTATTTGTGAGACTGTGACTACACGTCAGTGACTCTCAATACGATTCGGAGTATCTTAACGCCGCAATTCAGAAAATAATGTAATTTGTACAATGCCATCTATTACGTTCGTTGTGAGAAAACTTTTTTAATTTAGGGAAATTATTTTTTTTATTGTTTACTTTGTTTTAAGTATAAATATATTATTATAGAACGTTTTTTTTACACACAAATCTTTTTATTACTTTTTCTGATGTTTTATGGCGCCATTGAACAAATTAGAACCTACATTTTAAACTAATAATCATAACTTTCGTTAGAATTAACGAAATTTAAGAAAACTAAAATTAAATGTAACATGAAGATACGCTTTATCATTTTCTTAACGATTTCTTTAAAAAATATGTTTACTTTAGATGTGATGCGTTTATAAACAAACAGACAGACAGACAGACAATTCTAAAAGTTATAAAAATGTGTTTACTTAATTATTTTCATTTCCCTATAATGATTTTAGTGACAAATTTTCTATACAATATACAAAAACAGACACAACATGTTATCACCATTTTTATTATAAGTATATATTTAAAGAGAGATGGCGCTGCTAACAGCAATCAATTCTAAAAATAAAAGAGATTAATTGACGCGATTGGTACATTATTATATATATATATATATTAGCTTCAGCACCCTCGAAAACCATGAAAATAACACCCATTATAAAAAAATTGATACTTATTGCAGCCGCCATCTTGGATTTACATTTCGAGAGCACTATTAGCTTCAGCACCCTCGAAAACCACGAAAATGACACCCATGATGAAAAAATTGATATCTATTGCAGCCGCCATCTTGGATTTACATTTCGACAGCACTATTGGCTTCAACACCCTCGAAAACCATAAAAATTACACCCGTGATGAAAAAATTGTTACCTAATAAAGCCGCCATCTTGGATTTACATTTCGACAGCACTATTAGCTTCAGCACCCTCGAAAACCACAAATATGACACCCATGATGAAAAAATTGATATCTATTTCAGCCGCCATCTTGGATTCACATTTCGACAGCACTATCGGCTTCAACACCCTCGAAAACCATGAAAATAACACCCATGATGAAAAAATTTGTACCTGTTGTAGCCGCCATCTTGGATTTACATTTCGACAGCACTATCGGCTTAAACACCCTCGAAAACCATGAAAATGACACCCATGATGAAAAAATTTATATCTATTGCAGCCGCCATCTAGAATTTACATTTCGACAGCACTATCGGCTTCAACACCCTCGAAAACCATGAAAATTACACCCATGATGAAAAAATTGATATCTATTGCAGCCGCCATCTTGGATATACATTTCGACAGCATTATCGGCTTCAACACCCTCGAAAAATATGAAAATTACACCTATGATGAAAAAATTGTTACCTAATTAAGCCGCCATCTTGGATTTACATTTCGACAGCACTATTAGCTTCAGCACCCTCGAAAACCATGAAAATGACACCCATGATGAAAAAATTGATATCTATTGCAGCCGCCATCTTGGATTTACATTTCGACAGCACTATCGGCTTCAACACACTCGAAAACCATGAAAATGACACCCATGATAAAAAAAATTTGTACATGTTGTAGCCGCCATCTTGGATTTACATTTCGACAGCACTATCGGCTTCAAAACCCTCGAAAACCATGAAAATAACACCCATTATAAAAAAATTGATACTTATTGCAGCCGCCATCTTGGATTTACATTTCGACAGCACTATTAGCTTCAGCACCCTTGAAAACCACGAATATGACACCCATGATGAAAAAATTGATATCTATTGCAGCCGCCATCTTGGATTCACATTTCGACAGCACTATCGGCTTAAACACCCTCAAAAACCATGAAAATGACACCCATGATGAAAAAATTTATATCTATTGCAGCCGCCATCTAGAATTTACATTTCGACAGCACTATCGGCTTCAACACCCTCGAAAACCATGAAAATTACACCCATGATGAAAAAATTGATATCTATTGCAGCCGCCATCTTGGATATACATTTCGACAGCATTATCGGCTTCAACACCCTCGAAAAATATGAAAATTACACCTATGATGAAAAAATTGTTACCTTATTAAGCCGCCATCTTGGATTTACATTTCGACAGCACTATTAGCTTCAGCACCCTCGAAAACCATGAAAATGACACCCATGATGAAATAATTGATATCTATTGCAGCCGCCATCTTGGATTTACATTGTGACAGCACTATCGGCTTCAACACACTCGAAAGCCATAAAAATGACACCCATGATAAAAAAAATTTGTACCTGTTGTAGCCGCCATCTTGGATTTACATTTCGACAGCACTATCGGCTTCAACACCCTAGAAAACCATGAAAATGACACCGATTATGAAAAAATTGATACCTATTTCAGCCGATATCTTGAATTTACATTTCGAAAGCATTATCGGCTTCAAAACCCTCGAAAACCACGAAAATGACACCCATGATGAAAAAATTGATATCCATTGCAGCCGCCAACTAGGATTTACATTTCGACAGCACTATCGGCTTCAACACCCTCGAAAACCATGAAAATTACACCCATTATGAAAAAATTGTTACCTAATTAAGCCACCATCTTGGATTTACATTTCGACAGCACTATCGGCTTCAACACCCTCGAAAACCACGAAAATGACACCCATGATGAAAAAATTGATATCCATTGCAGCCGCCATCTTGGATTTACATTTCGACAGCACTATTGGCTTCAACACCCTCGAAAACTATAAAAATTACACCCGTGATGAAAAAATTGTTACCTAATTAAGCCGCCATCTTGGATTTACATTTCGACAGCACTATTAGCTTCAGCACCCTCGAAAACGACGAATATGACACCCATGATGAAAAAATTGATATCTATTGCAGCCGCCATCTTGGATTCACATTTCGACAGCACTATCGGCTTAAACACCCTCAAAAACCATGAAAATGACACCCATGATGAAAAAATTTATATCTATTGCAGCCGCCATCTAGAATTTACATTTCGACAGCACTATCGGCTTCAACACCCTCGAAAACCATGAAAATTACACCCATGATGAAAAAATTGATATCTATTGCAGCCGCCATCTTGGATATACATTTCGACAGCATTATCGGCTTCAACACCCTCGAAAAATATGAAAATTACACCTATGATGAAAAAATTGTTACCTTATTAAGCCGCCATCTTGGATTTACATTTCGACAGCACTATTAGCTTCAGCA